AGGTCTCAAAGTAAGAAGAGTTCTAAAATTAAATGCTGCTTTTGTGGAAAGAAAGGGCATACGAGAAAAGAGTGTTGGAAGAGGAAGAATGGAGGAAACAACTCTGAAGAATCAACCTCACAAGGTTGTGTTGTAAGTACCTCGGAAGATGGAGATATTCTGGTGAGTGAAGCAGTAATTAAATCTAATGGTGAAAAAGAGTTTCATGACAAGTGGATAGTGGATTGAGGTGCAACATGGCACATGACTCCGCATCGAGATTGGTTTCACACTTATGAACTATTCTCAGGTGGATTCGTCTTCATGGGAAACAACCATGCATTGGAGATTACTAGAGTTGGTACCGTCAAAATTAAAATGTATGATGGTACTGACAATTCAAGGGGTACGACATGTGCAGGACTTGAAGAAGAATCTATTGTCCATTGGGCAATTAGATGACCTCGAGTGTAAGATCCATGTTGAAGGTGGAATCTTGAAGGTGGTGAAGGGGAGTTTGGTGGTCATGAAGGCAAAGAAGATCATGGCAAATTTGTATGTGCTGCTTGGAGATACGTTGCAAGAAGCGGATGCATCAATTGAGGCAACAAGTCAGGAAGATACAGTGATCATGTAGCATCATAGACTTGGTCATATGTCAGAATGTGGTCTAAAAATCCTTGCAGAATGTAATCTCTTACCCGAGCTTGAAAATGTTAGTTTACCCTTCTGCGAACATTATGTGATAAGCAAACAACATAGATTGAAGTTTGCTAGAGTGACTGCTAAAATTAAACACATATTGGACTTGATTCATTCTGATGTGTGGGAATCGCCGATACTATCCCTCGGAGGAGCAAAATATTTTGTATCGTTCATCGATGATTACTCTAGGAGATTGTGGGTATATCCTATCAAGAAGAAGTCATATGTGTTTTCATAGTTCAAGGAATTTAAAGCACAAGTAGAACTTGAAACTGGGAAAATAATTAAGTGTTTGAGGATAGATAATGAAGAAGAATATGTAGACGGAAAATTTTTAGCATTTTGCAAGCAAGAGGGTATTACTAGACAATTTTCTATCCCACATAAGCCTCAGCATAATGATATAGCAGAGTGGGTGAATAGAACTCTCTTGGAAAGAACTAGAGTTATGTTGTGAACAACTGGAGTAGTCAAGTCTTTTTGGCCAGAAGCGTTTAAAACTACCTGTTATGTTATAAATCGATTACCGTCAACCACCATTGGTTTGAGTACACCAATGGAGTTATGGGAAGGTACACCAGTTGATTATTCATCCTTACGTGTTTTTTGTTGTCCTGTGTACGTGATGTACAACACTCAAGAAAGAACAAAATTGGATCTAAAATCCAAGAAATGTATCTTCTTGGGCTATGCTGACAATGTGAAGGGGTATCGCCTATAAGATCCCACTTCTCACAAGGTTTTGTTAGCAGATATGTAGTCTTTGCAAATAATGAACTGTAAAGTGAGCAAACAAATGAAAGCTTGATAAAGGACAAGGTTATAGTACAGATAGAGAGAAGTCTTCGGATGACTCGTCTGAGTCAGAAGAGGAACACGAAGTTCAAGAGCCAAATGAGGTTGGTAATGGAGATCTCCGACGATCAACACGAGAAAAAGCTAGACCATCTTGACATTCACAATATGTGATGACAAGTCATGATGCGTATTGTATTCTAAATGAAGAAGGAGAACCTTCAACTTTTCAAGAGGCTATGAGTTGTTCATATGCTTCTCTATGGATGACTGTAATGCAGGAAGAAATGAAGGCTCTTCATAAAAACAAGACATAGAAACTTGTGGAAATTTCGAAAGGTTAAAAAGCCATTGGTTGCAAATGGGTCTATAAGATCAAGAGAGATGACAATGATCAAGTAGAAAGATATAGTGCTATATTGGTGGTAAAGAGATATACTCAGAAAAAAGGTATTAATTTTAATGAGATATTCTCGCTGGTTGTCAGATTGACGTCCATAAGAGTTGTCCTGACTATGTGTGCTGCATTTGATTTACATCTTGAACAATTTGATGTAAAGACTTATTTTCTTCATTGAGATCTTGAAGAGGAAATTTATATGCTCCAACTAGAAGGCTTTAAAGAACAACAAAACTTGGTTTGCAGGTTGACCAAATTTCTATATGGTCTAAAACAAGTGCCCAGATGTTGGTATAAGAGATTTGATTCCTTCATTATTTGTCTTGGTTACAATAGACTGAGCTCAAACCATTGTACATACTACAATAGGTTTGGTGATAATGATTTTGTTATCTTGTTATTGTATGTGGATGACATGTTTGCAGTAGGCCCCAACATAGATCGAATCCAAGAGTTAAAAGCATAGTTGGCTAGGGAGTTTGACATGAAGGACTTGGGACCAGTAAACAAGATTTTAGGGATGCAAATTCACAGAGACAGAAAAGATAGGAAGGTTTGACTTTCTCAGAAGATTTACTTACTAAAAATCTTGCGGCGCTTCAACAAGCAAGATTGCAAGCTAATTTTCACCCCACTTCCTATCAATTGTAAGTTATCCTCAAGTATGAGTCGCAACAATGAAACAGAGAGGATAAAAATGTCTCGAGTACCGTATGCATCAATAGTGGGAAGTCTTATGTATGTCATGATTTATACTAGACCTGACATTGCACAAGCAATGGGAGTAGTTAGTAGATTCATGGGAAACCCTAGTGGAGAGCATTGGAGTGCTATAAAGAGGATCCTTAGATACATCAAAGGAACCTCAGGTGTTGCATTATGTTATGGAGGATCAGAACTAGTTGTCAGAGGCTATGTTGATTCAGATTTTGCAGGTGATCTGGATAAAATGAGATCTACTACTGGTTATGTGTTTACAGTTGCAGGAGGGGCAATAAGTTGGTTATCCAAGTTACAGGATGTTATAGCTCTGTGTACTACAGAAGCTGAGTACATGGCAGCCACCCAAGCATGTAAGGAAGCTATTTGGATTAGGAAGATAACGGAGGAACTCGGGCACAAGCAACAACAAATTGTTGTGTATTGTGGCAGTCAGAGTGTCTTGCACATTGCAAGGAATCCAACCTTTCATTCCAGGATAAAGCACATAGGAATAAGATGTCATTTTGTTCGAGAAGTAGTGGAAGAGGGTAGTGTGGGTATGCAAAAGATTCACACAGATGAGAACCTAGCAAATGTTATGACAGAACCAGTTAGTGTTGACAAGTTTGTACGAAGTCAATTCTACTTTGACCTAGCGGAAAAATAAGTAACATGGATGACAAGAATAAAGCAAGCATGGTGTGAAGATTTGATTAAATTAATTAAAATCTTCAAGTGGTAGATTGTTAGAAGAAAAGTCCCACATCAGGAAAATCTTAGTTTGGTGCTTCCTTTTCTTACTATAAAAGGAACACATTATTTACCTTGTAAAATGTACCAAAATCACTTCCTTTTCTTTCTCTTGCTGCTTTAGTACTTGAGAGATAAATTAAGAGAGAAAAATAGTTTCTCCTTTTAGGTTCTCTTTTCCTTTATTTCTAGGAGAGGGTGTTATTATTTCCTCTTGGAGGTACAGAGAGAAGGGTTGTAATTTCTTTCATTAGTGAAATTACTCTTTTGCCTATTGTCAGTGTTTTTCTCATCTTTTTATTTTAGTTGTGTGTGCTTATGCATTTTCTGATACCTAATAGTTTAAAGTCGCACCACCTTCAATCTCTCACAAGGTTTAAAGTTGTACCACCTACAATATCTCAGCACATGTGTAACTCTACGCCAATATATCCCATACATATATGTGTGTTCTCACAACTCATTATTTATAAAATACTCTAGTGATAATATTCAACTGTAATTGCAATCAGTTAGGCTAACTAATCTAACTGTAATAATCATTATATCATAATTATTGAATTATCATTTAATAAGTTTAACATATCTTTAAATCATATCACATGACATGAGAAAAACGATATAAGACTTCTAACACACTCTTCTAATGAAGCCTACTAGACCAACCCCCCCCCCAAGAAAGAACAACTTTTACCCCAAGACAATAATTGGAAAGTTAGACTTTAACTCTTATACCATCTTAAAGTTTTAACATAAAATCAATTAACAATATGTAAAATAGTCTATTAGATATTTAAATCATACCACATGATAGATAATATATGGAGTAGCCTACCTCATATTATGTAATATGGTTTAAATATTTGTTAAACTACTCTACCTATTACTTATATATATATATATATATATATATATATATATATATATATATATATATATATATATATATTTATTTATTTTTAAAGTTTATTTCATCTAACGTTGATTAGTTATGGAGCATTTTAATTTATATCCATAATCATTATTGTCTCGTAGTTTAAACATAGAGCATGGATACAGTAGAGATTTTCACACGGTGACTAAACTAATGTATTCAACCTATTATTTAATTATGAATGGTACTTAATATCAATATAATATGTTATCAAATATTTATTTAGATTTTGTTAACGTGACACAATAAATTAAAGTTATATATAATATTACTTTTAATATAATGGAAAGAATTTATGCTTTAGACTTTGTTAGGTTGTGCCCTGAAAATTTATTTTACGATTTTTTAATCACTTATGGTGTAGGGAGGAAAATGAAGTTCCCGCGTAGACCACAACGGACTTACTCCTTTTTGTCCACGTGATTAAATTCCACTTTTAAGAACTTAACAAAAAAATCCTTCTTTGGTTCTAATTTTATATAAGAATTGTCAGTGACAAAATACATTAATATATTGAATAAATTATTTTATATTAATTTAAATTATATAAGGATAGATAAAATAATAATAATTTATTTATGACATATTATTTTAACCTAATTATTTTTCATAATCAATGACAAGATAAAAGTTGATTCACATTTCAGTGAAATTACCGTGACAAGTATCCATTGTCATTTGCCATCATGATTTTTGGTCGTGTACTGAAGAGACTTCCCAACACGCAACCACCCCATGGAATCAGCAAGATGGAGTGACTCTCTCTCCTTTTCCCTTCTCAGTTCCCATTCACGCCATCCCTCCCAATACAAATTTATGGCCTTTTCAACTCTCTACACATTCTCACTCCCTTCCTTTTCTTCACTTTCTTTCTCTTCGTCTTCTTTCCACCTCACACCCTCCTCTTTCTCTCCAAAACCCACCACTCCACTCCTCAACACTCGCACCCTTCGCCCTTTCCCTCGCGCCATGCAAGCCTCGCAGATCCAAGACGCCGTTGGAGGGGCAATTAGCCTCGTCCAATCGTCTCCCGCCACGTGGCAATCAGCGCTTCTCAGCAACGTCATGATATTTCTACTGGGTTCTCCGATTTTGGTCACTGGACTGTCTCTCTCCGGCATCGGTGCTGCGTTTCTGCTCGGAACACTCACTTGGCGCGCGTTTGGGCCTTCTGGGTTCTTCCTTGTTGCCACCTACTTTATCATTGTGAGCTTAAATTTCTCTCTTGCTGAGCTTGTTGTGAAAGTGGTGTTTTTTAGTGTAAAGTTGGGGGGTTTGGGATTGAAGTGGTTCTTTTATATTCTGGAGGTCTTTAAAATGATGCGTGTTGAGATTAAATTTGGTATTCGTCGAACTGTAAAAATGGGTTGGTGATTTTTCTTGTTTTGAGAATTTGTGTTGGTTGATATGTGGAGATCAAATATGGTTGTTCGTTGAGTTCTGAAAATGGGTGGGGAAGATCAGGTTGTGTGTTTAACTTTATTTGTTTTGAGGGAGAAAAATGGTTTTCCTTGGAATTAGGTGCAATTCTGAAAATGGGAGTGGAAGTTTTTTTGTAGATTTTGTTTATGGGGAAAGGGATAAATTTTTGAGAGAAGGATTGCATATTCATGGATTCTGTGCAATTCTGAAAATGGGTGTGAGAATTTTCCTTTCTTTTGCTACTGGGTTTGAGACTTTGTTCTTTGGATTTGATTTGTTTGGGATTTGTTAGGGTACAGCTGTTACAAAGGTAAAAATGGCGCAGAAAGTGGCGCAGGGTATTGCTGAGAAACGAAAAGGAAGAAGGGGTCCAGGTAGTGTTATTGGATCTAGCGCTGCTGGTTGCATTTGCGCTTTCCTTGCTATTTTTGGTGTTGGGGGAGAGGCATTTTCTCGGCTTTGGACTCTCGGGTTTGTTGCCAGTTTCTGTACCAAGCTGAGTGACACGGTCTCAAGCGAGATCGGGAAGGCATATGGAAAAACAACGTGAGTAGTGGACTCTGGTGTGTATGTCGGTTGTGTAATGTTGTTATCAAAATCTACTTTTGAAGAAATGTCATGCATTTTTTATAGAAGCTATGCACGCATACAGAAGAATGAATGGAATTCCGTTATATTATGTGAAATGAATGAACGTATTTATACACAGTACAGAAGCAAAAAGGAAAGCAACTAACATATAACAGTACTAACTGTTTTTAATTAACTAAGGTTCAGTTTTGACTTATTCCTAACACACCCCCTTAAGTCAAACAGGTTTTACAACTCCAATAGATTGTCTCAGATACCTAAACCTCTCCCCTTTTAAGGCTTTGGTAAAGATATCTGCCAACTGAACCTCAGATTTACAGTAAACGATTTCAAGCTTCTCTTGATTGACTTGTTCCCTCAAAAAATGGAACCTAGTTTCAATGTGCTTGCTCCTACCATGAGCAGCAGGATGTTTTGCTAAGTCTATAGCAGATTTATTGTCCACCATTAATTTTGGACAGCTATTCATCTTCACCTTTAACTCTTCTAAGAGCATTGCTAACCATGCAGCTTGGCAAGCAGCTTGAGAAGCAGAAATGTATTCTGCTTCACAAGAGGAAAGAACTGCAACAGGTTCTTTCACGGAATGCCATGAGACAGGTGACCCACAGAGGAAAAATATGTATCCAGCAGTGGACTTCCTATCAATCTGATCTCCGCACCAATCAGCATCTGCGTACCCCTTCAGTTCAACACTTCCTTCGCACCCTTTATTTGGAAACAGCAAGCCAAGGTTCTTTGTCCCTTGCACATAACGCATGATACGTTTCACAACATTCATGTGGGTTTGTTTAGGTTCCTGCATGAATCTACTCACTATTCCAACTGCAAAACTTAGGTAAGGTCTTGTACAACACAAATACCTCAAGCACCCAACCATTTTCCTGAATTCTGATTCATCCACAGGTTCCTCATCTTCATTCTTTCCCAACTTCAACCCTGTTTCCATCGGTGTAGCTGCTATGTTGCAGTCTTGAAGCTTGAACCTGCTCAACAGGTCTTTCGCATACTTCGCCTGGTGCATTAACATTCCATGATCTGTCTGCATGAACTCAATTCCCAAAAAATAATTGAGTTCCCCCAAGTCACTCATTTCAAACTTAGTGGTCATCTGATGTTTGAACTGATTGATATATTTCGCTTTACTTCCTGTGATAAGCATGTCATCCACGTAGAGGCATACGAGTAACTTTTCTTCTTGACCGTTGCTGATCCAATACTTCACGTATAATCCTTGCTCCGTGGTGCATCTTTCAAAGCCAATCTGATGCATAAACTGATCAATTCTTTTGTTCCAAGCCCGTGGGGCTTGCTTCAAGCCATAAAGAGCTTTGATTAACTTGTAAACTTTCAATTTATCATCCTTAACCTCAATTCCTGGCGGTTGAGTTACGTATACCTCCTTTTCAAGCAACCCATTTAGAAAAGCTGCTTTTACATCTAGCTGATGCATTCTCCACTTGTTTAATGTTGCAATAGCGATAATTACTTGGATTGAATCAAGCCTAGCAACGGGTGCATATATTTCTCCAAAATCAGTCCCAGCCTTTTGCAAATATCCTTTAGCCACTAACCTGGCTTTATGCCTTATCACTTCTCCCTTGGGATTGACTTTAACCTTGAATACCCACTTCAGTGCTATGGGCCTTTTATGCGGTGGAAGATTAACCAATCTCCACGTTCCATTACGTTCAATGGACTCCTCACACATCGCTTTTCTCCATTTTTCATCATGCACAACATCCTCAAACTCCACGGGCTCCGCCTCTACTGCGAATGCAAAATGCACTGGGTTTCCTTCTTCAGTAACAACACCAAACATTTCATAATCTCTGAAACGAGTTGGTTGTTGTCCTTGACGCTGGGATCTTCGAAGCTGCTGAACATCTTCTTCGGGTTCAATCTCACCAGAATCTGCTGCATCATCAGGTTCTAGCGCAATAACTAGGACCACCTCTGCTGCCTCATTCACCTTATTCGTCTCCCACTCCCAACTAGAGGCTTCATCAAAAACTACATTTCTGCTGATAGTTACACTCTTGGTTTCGGGGTCAAACAGCTTATACCCTCCAGTAGTGTGATAACCAATCATCACCATAGGCTTTCCTTTGTCGTCTAATTTGGTTCGCTGCACTTCAGCAGGCACTTTATGGAAACACAGGGAACCAAAAACTCTCAGATGCTTGACATCTGGCTTCTGTTTTGACCAGGCTTGACCAAAAACTCCCTCCAACCTCTTCGTAGGTGTGCGATTTAGAATATAGGTTGCTGTTGCAATTGCTTCTCCCCACATATACATAGGCACGTTTTTACTTTTGAGCATACATCGAGCCATGTTGAGGAGAGTTCTATTTCTCCTCTCAGCGGTTCCGTTATGTTGCGGTGTGTGAGGCGGTGTAACCTCGTGTGTGATTCCCATTTCAGCCAGGAAGTTTTGAAACTCCAGTGAGTTGTACTCACCCCCTCCATCAGACCGTAGTCGCTGTATCATGCAACCACTCTGTTTTTCAGCGAGAGTCTTGAACCTCCTGAATGTGTCAAAGACCTCGTTTTTTCGCTTTAGGCAAAACGTCCACAACTTCTTGGTGTAGTCGTCCGTGAAGGTCACAAAGTATCGACTGCCCCCAGGTGTTTCCATAGGCAATGGTCCACAAAGATAAGAATATACCAGTTCTAACTCCTTCGTTGTTTTGGTGGCAACGAATTTGCTGAACTTGCTCTTCGTTTGCTTGCATTGCACACAGTCATGACACGCTTCTTCTGGCACAGACACGCGAGGCATCCCTTCAACCATTCCTTTAACGCTCAGTTCACTCAAATTTCTGAAGTTCAAGTGACCAAAGCGTAGGTGCCACAACCACTCTTCTCTGTTCACTGCAGCTGCAAAACACTTATGGTTTAACGTAGTTATTTTTACCTTAAACGTATGATTGGATGATAGTGCAGCACAAATGACAAGCTTCTTTGTTTGATCATAGACCCGTAGGGAATTCTCCTCCAGAACCATCTTGAACCCTTTCTGCATTAATTGGCCAAGACTCAACAAATTGGTTCGTAACCCAGGAACATACAGGACGTTGTCGACTATAACTTCTTCTCCTTTGAAGCTTCTTAGCACGACCCGTCCATTCCCTTCTGCATGCAAACAGCTGTCGTCTGCAAATCGCACCCGTTCTTGAGTCTCATTACTCAATTTCACAAACCACTCCCTCCGGCCAGTCATATGGGTAGAACACCCGGAATCAAGATACCATGCGTCATCATCATTGTCTTCGTTCTTGGTCTGAACCATGAGTAAGATAGCTTCAGAATCGGACGACTCTTCTTGTGCGAGATTTGCCTGGGACTGAGACTTGGGTTTGTTTTTCGCTCCATCACCATGCCAGCAGTCGCGTGCGAAGTGGCCATACTTCTGGCAGTTATAGTATTTCACTCGCTTTTTGCCAAACACCTTGTCTTTACTCCCATTCCCGCCCTGCTTTGATTCACCATCTTTCGACTTTGGATCAGTCTTCTTCTTGGATTTGTGACCCTTCTTGGTATCTTTCTTTGGCTTCGATGAATTTCTTGCTTGAAGAACCAACTCCTGATACGATTTGCGATCACTCATGCGCAGTTCGTGAGCCTCCAACGAGTGCTGTAATTCTTGAATACTCGGCTTGTCGATGTCCTTTGTTTCTTCAATTGTGATAACAAGATGATCGAACTTTGGATGCAAAGAACGAAGAATCTTGTTTATTACATGTTCTGGAGACAATGTCTCGTTACAACTTTTCATGGCGTTAACCACACTCTGAACTTTGTTGAAGTAACTCGCCACAGATTCGTTGTCCTCCATTATCAAGAACTCAAAGCTTCTACGTAGGGCCTGCAACTTCACTCGCTTGTGCTTGTCACTATCTCCGTAAGTCTTGATGAGAATCTCCCATATTTCTTTAGCTGTTTCAACCATTGAAATTTTGTTAAAGATCTCAGAATTCACACATTGATATAGCAAATACCTAGCTTTGCTATCCATCTTCTGCATCTGTTTGTAATTCCTCTTCTCTTCGTCTGATGCCTTGCTACCGGGATCGACGACGCCAACTTCGATCACTTCGGCCACATCTTGGAATCCAAACACCGCGCGCATTTTGATCTTCCAATCATCAAAACAGCTTCCATCGAACATGGGCAACCCTCCAGGAATGAATCCACCAAGTCCAGCCATGATTTTTGAACGTTTCTTGAAGAATCGCTATAGGCTTCTTGAACTTCACACGTGCTTCACAAAAACACCCTGACACGCCACACACAGTATGGCAGAATCACAAACAAGAGGACCACTTCTCAATTCACGGACTGGAAGACCCCTCACTAAACCGTTCTGGCTCTGATACCATATAGAAACTATGCACGCATACAGAAGAATGAATGGAATTCCGTTATATTATGTGAAATGAATGAACGTATTTATACACAGTACAGAAACAAAAAGGAAAGCAACTAACATATAACAGTACTAACTGTTTTTAACTAACTAAGGTTCAGTTTTGACTTATTCCTAACATTTTTTACATGTTAGCTTTTGTAGAATCCCAAGGTGCTAAATTGTAAATACGGTTTAATTGCTATTTCTAATATTGTGGAAAATTGTGGATGACTGCAGTGGTTGGTGTGGCCCCGACTGTAGTTGCAGTGTTATCACAAGAGACCGCATAAATCATGGCATTGCAGTTGAACATTGTTAAGGTTCCAACATAAAACCAATTGGCAATATGTGGAGTAGCCTAACATGTATTTAAACCATACCAAATGATATGAGGTAGGCGATGTGGGACTTTCAACACACCCCCCTCCAACGAAGCCTGCCGGACCAGGCAAAGGGTACTTTTGACCCAACTAAAGGGCAACTTTTGGCCCATGACAATAACCGGAAAGATGTTAGGCTTTGGCTCTGATACCATGTTAAGGTTCCAACATAAAACCAATTGGCAATATGTGGAGCAGCCTAACATGTATTTAAACCATACCAAATGATATGAGGTAGGCGATGTGGGACTTTCAACAAACATGAAGTTGCAATTGCAAACCTTTTTTTTTAAAACCTTGGAACCCTGCACCCTTCCCCTAATATTAGTTCTGTGCCGTGAACTGAGGAAAGCCCTCAAAGAATCATGATTCTGTATTGATGCAGATATCTTTTAAGCTGTTCCGTAATTTTCTCTTGATAAATTTTCCAACTGGAAAGTAGCCTGGTGTAACACTTGTTGTGGTGCATGGATTAAGCTGGTAACATCTATTGCATTGAGAACTCAATTCATAACATAAACAGGTGTAACATATTTGCTTATACATTTTGCTTGATTGCCACTACTAGTACTTTCCGTCTGAATTTATTAAAGTAGTTTCTCATTAATTTGGAAATGTGAATTATGATAATCCTGGTAACTTGAGATCTATGTTCTTCCAGAATATATATATGTTCACTTATATTTTTTGACATTTCAATTCTGAAATTTCTCTGGCATAATATCCAGGTATCTAGTTACAACATTCAAGATAGTTCCAAGAGGCACAGAAGGGGCTGTTAGTGTTGAAGGAACCTTGGCTGGAATTTTAGCATCCATAGTTCTTGCATTTGTCGGTTTTCTCATGGGTGAGGTACTTCAGTAATTCCTGTCTCTGTAACATCTATATTAATCACAAATTCTTAACAACAGAAACACTAAATAGAGAATAAACTTCCCAAAAATAACCAGCCACTTTTGCATTTTGGGACTGAAACCAATTCACCTCCATCTCTGATGCCAGAGAAATAAACAACCACTTATCTCTAGATCACAAACTTTACTATTAATTTAACCACTTCCCTCAATTTTCAATATTTCGGCAATGTAGTGTTTCTGTTAAGAATATACAGGGAGAGTAAATTTTAATTTGTTATTTTGAACTTATAATTTTTAATTTTGAATTGTGCTGTTATAATTTGCTTCAAGATAGACCCTTGAGGTTGTCTGGATTGTAAAACCTACAATATTATTGTTTTTGGCATTTGGGAAGCTGTGTGTGGGGTCTGAACTGTTAGTAAATTGATTATGAAATAGTAAATACTATGTTATTATAAAATTAAATACAACTTGATCAGTTGTGGTGGAAATGGAATTTAGTTGAATTAAGGGCAACCTTTTCAGGATCACTTGTGGTGAAGTTAGAGTTTTGTGAGGTAAAATTCTAATTTTACAAGGCTAATAATAGTTGCATTAGGGCTTTCTAAGTGTGTATTTCAGTGGCAGTTGATTTGTGTTGGTATGAGGTTGATGTTGCACTCATTTGTTGAAAGGACTTAGATGAATTTAATAGCATGGTATTGACCTTTTTTTCAAAATTAATTTGAAGTAGGTGGTCGGTATAGTATGAACAAATCAGCTTTCTGATCACTAAACGCCAAAAGATGTACAACCATAGTTATAATAAATCTTAGATGGTAGTGCATAGCGGGCAGTGCCAACTCTGAAATTGATATATCAGGAAAAGGGATGAGTGCTACTTTAAATGTTATAATACAAGCTTAATAGCTTGTACTAGACATATAAATGCTCAGAAAAGAAAGATGGGACCATTGACAACTATAAAATTAGGAGGGGCTCATTGAGAATGGGACCCACCAAATTTACAAAGCTAAGTCCTAAACATGAATTAGTGCGATTCTTCCTAACTAAAAGGGTAACCTAATAATAGTAGCATGAAATGGAACATATCATCAAGCAGAAGAGTTGAGGTACTTCTTTTCCTATAATTTAGCTGTGTATCCTTGTAATGAGTAATTTTTTCTCGTTTTTTGCTTCATAACTTTGAACTCGGAAGATGGGATTGATTTGACATATAACATAAAACATAGTTACACTCAAGGTTATTAGACTCAAGACTCATTTGACATATAACATAATACATAGTTATACTCAAGGTTATCATACTCAGAAACTTAAATTTGTGGTAGCTCTACAAACTCGACTAATGCACTCATAAGAGTCTACTTCATTTACCAATTTAACTGTTGAACACCATAATTAAATGAAATAATAAACAATAATTCCACAATACTAAATTATTTACTAGTGCATGATGACTACTATATAAGTTAAAACTCCATTGAAATATTTTTTATTTCTAAAAAGTGACAATACAACTACATTGGCATTAGAAAAATTTCAACGAGTCCCATTTCCATTCATTTTATAATTTTAGCAGGCAACTAAATTAAAAAAAATTAAAAAATTAAAAATTAAGGGAAACCCACACTGGAAACACCTCCACTTAATTTCAGGGAATATATACAATTTTGACTATGCTTAGCAGAGAACAAACAAAACCTAATAGAGAAAAAACCCAATATTCAAAACAAAAATCAAAATGTGCCATGTGAAACCCAATGGAGAACAGAACCCAATAATCAAAACAGCGAACAAAATGTGTAGTGTGTAGACGGATGGGGTAGACTATGGATGGCACTCAATCCCATCCCAGCGGTGACTGACCTGTACCCTTGCCTTGATTTGATGGAGAAAAACCAATTTGATTGAGTTCAGATACAAGTTTAGGTTTTCGCTAATAACAAAGATTGGGTTCAAGGTTGTGAATGGGTATTCAATTCCTTGCCCCACCCCAGACATTCAAATTTAACCTAAATCCTTCAATATTATTCTTGACCCTCTATAATTCTCACATTGAAAGTTATGTATTTGTGAGTTGGTGGAGGACTCGTGAGTCTATCCGAACGTACTTGAGTTAGCTCAAGCTCACTCAAAACATGAATTTACTCATGAATTAACTTGTGACCACTGACCTAGGAATTAATCAGTTAACTTGAGAGTTTGATATGGTTATACTGTGATGCCTCGTCAACACTAAATTGTTGTAGATATGCCTATGAAATTGGAAAAATAATCCTAGGTGCCTAGGTTTGGTTTAATAGAGAAGAGAATCAAAGCACTTTGGTATTATGAAAGGGAATGGAAAGAAAACAAACGAGTTGAATCATATCATATTTCCCTGTTTGGGTTTTTGTGAGGGATAGAATATAAATGATTTCTATAGGCACAGAATTATGTGGATGCCTTCTTGTGTTGTGTAGTTAGAACTTTTTCATGGCGGTAAAAGGTGAAATTTATTTCAAATTATGCTACTAAACATCATTGGTCCTACAAGTTCAGGGAACAAGTTTGACTCCCATTTAAATCATCAACTCTACTGCAAAGTCAGTGAAGAAGAATCCTTATACACGTAATTACTACTGTATGGTCAGTTGTTGATGACTTCATGAATGTAAATTCTGTTTCTTATTTGCTTCTTTATTTTTTCTTGTTAAACAGGTTAGTTCACATGAAGCAATTATATGTGTAGTAGCTGCTCAAATTGCTAATCTTGGCGAGAGCGTAATTGGTGCTGCACTTCAAGAGAAGGAAGGATTTAAATGGGTAGGTTCACGAACGCAGTGATATTTCATTTTCAGAACTATGTCAATAATCTGTTTGGTCTTGCCTATTAAATTTGTGTACATTTGTTCTACTTTTATTTGAGTCAGGGTTCAAATATCGAATTCTTGAATGCCAATTTACCAATAAGATTAAATGTTTCTCCAAATTTTAAATTTATGAGATGTGGCAAATTCAAACAGAATGCTTGAGCTTGGCTAGTTTGTATACACATACATGATACAGCTACATGCTCAAAGTTGAATTTCATTTTTTACATTCACCAGGTTAACATGTATATCTGGTAGGTAGCAGTAGTTATTTATGATTAATTTACAATTTCTTTGCAGCTGAACAATGATGCAGTCAATGTCATCAACATATTAATGGGTAGCATCATAGCAGTCTTCATGCAGCAAGCGCTCCAGATTTGGTGTTCCTAAAGTTGATATGGGTAATCTCAATCATATTAACATGGATACAAACCTGTACTGATCAGTAGTCATTCTCAAAGGACGTTGGTTGTTACAAAGCTTATAGCAGTGGCAATTGAACCAAGAAACTGAATAAGCTATAGCCATGATTCAAGTCAAGTCTTATGTAAGCGAAGCCGTGGTTCTTCTTTCAAAATGTAGGTGTGAACTTCCTTTTCTGATCCTTACTAACAAGAAATATCTGTCTATCATTCTGTTTCATTTCCCTTTTACTTCTGACTATTGGGGGTTTCTTTGTTCTTTCCCTTGGTCCCATGTTCTTTATTGCGCTCACTTTAGAGCATCATCTCATATACAGTCCTTGAGTGAATAGTTTAGACTTTAATTCTTGTATAGGTAATTTTAGAGATTGAGCCTCATGATTCACACATTACATTCTTGTGTGGAAGACTTTTTTTAATGATGAGTGCTACTAACTGCACGTCATGTGCATTGATTGCCTCGATCAATACAGCTATTTAAGAGTTGGTTTCTTACCGGATTAAATTTATATGTAGTATTGAAGTTACTATTAGTGTTACTTGTTAATCTAAACTCACATTTCATCTTGGCAGTTGCTACCTGTCTTCACAATTCAAATTGGTAACAATTTTGGTACTAAAATCGTAATATCGTTATATGGATTGTAATATCCTACAGAATTTATAAAATTCATATATATGTCAAATATTTCAATTTCAATTTGATATTGATAATAATAAAAAAAATATAATAAGCACAAAAAACAAGTCAATATATATAAACTATAAATCCTTCACAATAACAGAACATTAGTTATGAAATAGGAATTCTATCCTAGTTACAAAACAATTATCCATCTAAAACAAATAATCTTGCAAGTTAAAATTATATTCCATTAGGAGATCTTCAATTCAATCATTTTAAATTTTATCTCCTCAGGAATGTCTAAATCAGGTGTAATTTCATCTTGTCTACATCTAAATCTAATTCTTTATTCTCCTCAAGTTCATCTTCATCTTCTATAATCCACTCATATGAACAATCTATTCCTTCTCTTTTTGTGGACTTAAACAAAGGCAAATGAAAATATGATAATCAAGTAGATTAGTAGTAATTTATTATATAGATACATTTTAATGAATACTAACTTACCATTTTAAAGGAACTCTAATGACACTCACATTCGGATAAACTAGATGTTAAACTTAATAATGAATGGAAAATTTTTGGAGTAATAGATTTTTAGAGTCTTCAAAATATTTGGCCTAGAGGTCAAGGGACAACCAAAATATTTAGTTTGATTTTTTAAATCATCAATTTGAATATCAATCAAAGTTTGTTCATCCTCATCTTTCACCATTCTTGTTAAACATTCAATTAGATCTCGATTCACTTTCAAATCAACATTAAATCCAGGGCGATAATGCATGTGAGGGTTAAGGAAATAATTTGCTATATTCAAAGACCTATGAGGTTGTTTGTCCCATCTTTCATCAATGATGTTCTACAAAGACAAATAACTATACAAAAATATATTATAGAGTTAGTTTTTTATTTTCAAAACCTCTAACTTAACAAATAAATATATCCATACTACCTTTTTTTACAACATTAAAAGTCTTTTGTATCTTCTGCTTAGCTTATCCATTATTTTATAAATGAATACCATAATTGATTTTTTTATCCAAGTCAACCAATCAAAGTACTTTAATTAGAGGTAATGCACCCTTTAGACAAATTATGATATTTTTCAAAAATCCTTATCCAAAATCACATCGTCAACTATTTTTCCATCCTTTATTTTTGCAAACCCACTATATTTCCATTAATTACTAATAAACATTCTAATTAAAACTCCATTCTTTTCATAAAGGTACCCTAATATCAACTAAAATATGGCAAAACAAGTAATACCTAGCCTAACCAAATATCTTTTTTTTTTTTTTTTTTTTTTGTGTGTGTGAAATGATGTAGTAAAGAAATTAGAGATATTGTAGAATAGATAAAAGTTGTAATTCTTTTACCTTTTGAAATTGTTTTCTTATGAATTGATATCTTCTTCTCGTAATCCTCCTACGTTAAGTCAACACAAAGTGTCCAAAATAGTTTTTTTCCTCTTTGTCATCAACATTTGACCAATAACTTTGTAGTTCGTTGCATTATTTGCCCCAACTTGAACAATATTATCTTCTCTCACCTTTTCAACAACCTTATTTATCATCTTAAAATCTTTTTCAGCTAATTTAGATATTGTAGATGCATGTATAGACTTCAGAAATACAGTTCCTTTAGACTTTTTACTAGGAAGTTTATTATTGTTCATCTTTTTTTTAGTCCAACTGTCAGTCATAATTGTACATTATTATTTCTTCCATTTATCCCCATGTGCTCATAAAACAAGTGATGTATTTTTCACTTTCTCATTCAAATATTTGATTCAAAACTCATGACATGACGGAGACATAAATCCAAATCATGCTTTGAAACCAAATCAAACATAGCACCAAATTCTTCACTCTTAATTAGACATATTGAAAGATATAACATTGTTATAGAAAACCAAGCAATTGTTTGACATGCTTCTTCTCTCACACCTATGGAATTAATGGTGGCTTGTGTGGTAACTACCCTATTCTTAATTATTTTTATTATTGCCACCAATAATTGATTCATTGTCATTATTTTTTCTTTTATCACCAGTTTCTACATTTTCCTCATCCTTATTAAGGATTGATTTCTTGATCAAAGTTTACTGTAAACCAACAACAATAATTTCCGACATCTTCTTGATCTCATCAGTAACAACCTTGCAAGCTCCAACATCCTTTTGAGAACCAAGTAAGTGAAACAACAGGGGGAATTTACATGTTGAAGCATCACTTAGTTGGTCCTTAAAACAATATTGGATTTAAGCCTTGTCAGAAATAAATCAAGTATATGCACAACATTTTGTTATTGGACCATACAATACATTATTGGAAAGTTTTCAACTCTTATTAGCTTATTAGGAGGCAACAAAAAAAGTAGTAAGCATCGTTTATGAAAAAACTCAAAACTGGAAAATTACAAACAAATTAAGTGGTGTAGTTTTCTTTGTGGTTAGGAAACATTTATTATTATTATTATTATATTGTAAATTGTAGCTTATAAAAGACAACTCCAATGCACGACTATACACAAGCTTTTAAAGTGAATGAAATATTAAGAGAAAGTCTAAATTAATGCACGGCTATACACAAGTTTTTAAAGTGAATGAAATATTAAGAGAAAGTCTAAATTCTCTTTCTCTATTTATTTTATTGTGTGTGAGTGTCTTGAGAAAATATTTGTCCCACTGATATCAAATTTATATCAGAGCTGGTTAGATCCTGCATTAGTTTTGTGAGTTTATGAGAGAGTCAGTGAAAAAAATACTGAGTGTGAGGAACAAAAGTGTTCTCACCTTAACAATATTTTGTTAGTCTATTTGACAAAGAGAGAGATGACCACAAATTACAATATTATTTTGTCTGGTCCCAAATTAGATGAAAAAATGGATTATAATTACTGAAAATTGTTGATATCCACCCATTTGAAAGCTTACAATATTTGGAGCTTCATTGAACCAGGCTTATAAGAAGGAGCTAATGTAGAAAATCAAAGGAAGGGACAGTTGGCGCTGTCACATATTCAACAAGGAATAGATTATTCAATTTTTGGCAAAATTGCAAACTGCAAGATTGCCAAAGATGCATGAGATACATTGAAGTTATCATACAAAGGAGTAGAGAAAGCTCAAAAATCCAAACTGCAGTCCTTGCGAAGAGAATATGAAAGGTATGATATGTCCAGTTCAGAAACTCTGAAAAATTAGATTAAATGAAATCTTATTTTATTATTTTAATACAAAGAGATTATACAAGATATATACAGGAGACCTAAGTTATTTTAAGAAATATAATAACTCTATTTTATTCTAGGATCCCTTGATTTATGAGATTGTTCCTAATTGTTCAAATTTGTATAGATTACAAATTTCCTAATTTATTCTTTCCTAAAATACTATTTGATTTCCCACACTCCCTCTCAAGTTGGTGAATAGGTGTTTTCCATTCCCAGCTTGGATACAATCTTCTCAAAATTGTGGCAGCTCAGTCCCTTAGTAAGAATGTCTGCAATTTGGTTTTTAGAGGACACATATGGAGTGCATATCAAGCCACTATCAAGCTTTTCTTTGATGAAGTGTCTGTCTACTTCAATATGTTTTGTTCTATCATGCTGCACTGGGTTGTGGGCTATGTTGATTGCTGACTTATTATCACAATAGAGCTTCATAGGTTCTTCCCATTTTATCCTCAAGTCTTCTAAGATGATTTTAAGCCATAACAACTCACATATACCTTGTGCCATGGCTCGGAATTCCACTTCAACATTGGACCGAGCCACTATCCCTGCTTTTTGCTTCTCCAAGTCACAAGATTTCCTTCAAGAAAGGTGCAATATCCTGTAGTTGACCTCCTATCCACATTTGACCCTGCATAATTAGCATCAGTATAGGCTTCAAGCTTCACATTACCATTCCTTTTGAATAGAACCCCTCTTCCTGGAGTTCCTTTAAGGTACTATAAAATTCTGCAGGCTGCTTGTAAATGGGTCTCCTTTGGGTTATGCATAAATTGACTAATTAAACTCACTACATAGGCAATATCTGGCCTGGTATGTGACAAATATATAAGTCTGCCCACTAATCGCTGGTACATATCTTTTTCAACAACAACATCTTCTTCTGCATTTCCAAGCTTTAGGTTTGGTTCTAATGAGGTACTATCAGGTTTGCAAGTTGTCTTTCCAGTTTCCTTGAGCAAATCAGTGATGTATTTCTGCTGGGATATAAATATCCCTTTCTTGGAGTGGGCAACTTCAATTCCCAAAAAATATTTTAGTTTTCCCAAGGTCTTGATCTCAAATTCCTTGCCTAAGCATTGGCTCAACAATTGCTGCTCTTCTTT